GTCGAGGCCTTTGCTGCGTGGCAGGGAAAGACGGCGCAGGCTGGGGGGAAGCAATACCAACAGGGTGAGGGCAGTTTTTAGCAATGTGACTAGACTGTCCGCATCGAAAGCACTTTACAGATGGCCTACGATTTTGCTGTTTTGGCCATAATCTTCACGCAGCCCTCCAGACTCTACTTTTCTATATTCTTTCTTTTCCGCGCACTCTCTCAAGTTAAATGAGACATCTACGTTAGCAGTCTCGAAGACTCCCGCAGGTCCGTAGCCCCCCAGCAGACGTGCCAGACCCCGACAGGCTACCAGTTCTGCCAGCTGGGCACTAGTTCCAGGAGGAAGGGAATTACTTGTAAGCACTGTTTGATCACTGACTACTGCATATCCTGCTTTTCAAACTCCATTTTCTGTAAATGTTTTTCTGTTAAGGTTAAGGTCAGGATTGGCTAGAGGAGTTCTTAAGAGATCCTCTTGAGACACAGTTCTGAGCTGTAACCTGCTGACAGTCATGTTCTGTGTCTTCCTCAGGAAGAAAAGTAGTTGGGTTGAGGGTTGCAAATGTGCACAGCTGAAGTACAGGCCTTCGAGCTGATATTTGACTAAGTCATTATCAGACAGCCATGAGCCTCCTTTAGGGGCCAGAATTTCAGCCACATTATGTGAAGTCCATACAGTTAGAAGCGGTTAAAAAAGTGCAAGGGAAAGATCTGAGACCAGTATAGCCACTGTGGCTACAATTCACAAGCAGTGTGGTCAGCTTTTCACTACTGCATCAATTTCCTTACTTAGGGGACTGCACCACAACTGGTGGCATGCCAGAGTCTGAGAACCCCCAGTGCCACTCCTGATTTTCTGAAACAGAGAGAACTTGTTTCTTGTCCGGAGGCTTAGAGCTGGAACCTGCAGTAGTGCCTGAGTTAGAGTCTGAAAGGCCGCCTCAGCTATAGGGTCTCATTGTATTAGATGGGTACTAGCTTTTTGTGTTTCATCAATCAGAGTGTGTAGGGGTTTTGCTATTTCACCACATCTGGGAAATCGGTAAAAACCAGTTACTCCCAAGAATTCCCAAAACTGTTTTACAGTCTTTAGATGGGGAAAGACCAGTATGGGTTGGAGACATTCTTTATCAAGGGCACAAGTGCCCTTAGACAAGATACACCCTAGAAAGCTGGGCTTCTGGTTAGGGAACCTTATATCCACAGGTGGCAAGGAAGTTTAGGAGGTCCTGGGTGGCCTGCTCACCCTGGATTTCTGAGTTTGCAGTTAAAATAAGTCATCCAGCTATTGAATAACCACAGTACCTGGATATAAAAAGTTGCTAAGGTCCTGGGCTAGAGCCTGGCCAAACAGCTGGGGCTATTCTGAAAGCCCTGGGGTAACACTGTCCAGGTGAGCTGAGAACTCTGGTCTAAAGGGTCTTCAAAGGCAAACAGAAACTGGGAGTCAGAATGTAATGGCACACAGGAAAAGGCATTCTTAGGTCTGGGACTGTAACCCATTGTGCCTCTCCTGGTATTTAAGAGAGCAAGGTGTAAGGGTTAGGCACAGCCAGGTGTAAAGGAAGTACAGTTGCATTAATAAGCCTGAGATCTTCCGCAAGCCCCCATTGCCCGTTAGGTTTTTGTCCTCCTCAAACTGGAGGATTGAAAGGGCTACTGCAGGACTGTACCAGGCTGTAAGCTTTTAAGTCCTTTACAATATGCTGTAGCCACTTTTTGGCTTCTCTTCTTAAGGGGTACTGTCTTTGGTTAAAAAAAAAAAAAGAGGTGCAATCCCTTAGCCTTACTCAAATTCACATGCATTATTTGGCTGTCCAAATTGTCTGACCATTGTCCAAACCTCGGGATTAATCCCACCTTGAAATCATGGGCAGCACAGAGAGCTTTCCTTTCTGTTGATGTTCATATAGAAAACAGCTCCTGCTCTGGCTAATGGGTCCCACTCTAGTAAGGGAGTGGGACTTTCTGGCATGATGAGGAAGGCAGAAAGAAGAGCATATCTCCCCAATTACAGCTTAGGGGCTGGGGGAAGTATCAGGAGACTGCTTGTCCTAGGACTTCTCAGAAAGTTACAGACTTGGAGGACAGCTGTCCAGGGCAGGAGAGTAAAACAGAGAAGGCCACACCAGTGTCCAGGAGGAGATCAACTTCCTGGCCCCTGTGGTCAGCTTTACCTGTGGCTCTGTGAGGGTGAGGACTTCTGCTGGCACTTGCCCTGAGCATTTTCATTCCTGCTGCTGGGTCATCTGGTTAGCCACCTCAGGCCCTGGGAAAGTGGGCTTTCCAGTGATTCCCCTTGGCACAGTGGGCAAGTATGAGGTGTCCATTTCTCCTGGGACAATTCCTTATAAAATGTCCCATTAGGCCACAGTGGTAACAAGCTTTGCCAGACTGGCAGCTAACCCAAGCCTTTGCCTCATTTGAGGCCCTGGGGTCTGCTTGCCTGAGGCCATGGCTGTGGCTAGTGCTGTGGCTTTTCTCTGATCTCTCCTGCTCCTTTCAGCCTGTTCCTTCTGGTCTCTATTGTAAAGTACCGAGGTTGCTAGGTTTATAAGGATTCTGGACTCTGTTCTGTCCCCAGGGCCAGCTTCTGGAGCTTCCTCCAAATGTCTGCTCCTGACTGCAGAATAAACTTGTCCTTTAGTATTAACTGCCCCTCAATGGAGTCTGGTGACAGGGGAGTACACTTTCTCAAGGCTTCCTGCATTCACTCAAGGAAAGCTGTTGGGTTTTCTTTCCCTGAGTTATGGTGGATAACACTGCATATTTCCTGGACTTCCTCCTAGTTCACCTTAATCTCTCAAATATGCAGGTCTAGAGGTGCCCATGTCTCCAGGCCCCTCATTTTGAGTCAGGATCCCAGCGAGGGTCCATGCTAGGGATTACGTGTCTACCTGTATGAAATCTGTCATTCTCCTCTCGTGTCATCTGATCATGTAGTTGACTAAAGTACCAGCTGTCCTTAAACTCTTGAGCTGCTGCTGAAGCAGCCTCTGTCTCACTGCTGGTCAAGGTTTGATTAAGCAATAACATGATATTTTTTCAATCTAATTCATAGGACTGATGCAGTCTCTGCAAAGTATCTATGTACTAGTCTGGGTCATCTGAAACTTTTCCTAAATCCACTTAATTTGCTTTAAGTGAGAAAGTGAAAAGGGAGTGTGCACGTTAGTTGGTCAAATTCTCCTCCTACTGCCTGTAGAGGGCAGAGTCTGGGCATCCTAGTAGCCTAACAGGCCTTGGCCATTTCAGCCTCCCCAGTTCCTTTTGGATTATTGGAGCTGAGGAGGTCTGGTCAGCCTCCAGGGAATAGAGGCTGAATGTGGTTGAGAATAAATGTATCATAATAATGTCAGTTAGATAAACAGAACTATAGTTGCTAAAAATCTGGCAGGGAAAGTGTTAGACAAGCCAGACATAAGGGTGGAGGGCTTAGCTGAGGGACACCTGTTAAAATCAAGTAAGTCATTTCCTACTTTTTGGAATTCAGGCTTATCACTAAGCCTTCTAATCATGCTTTGGCTTGCTCTGTGCATCAACTCATTGTGCAGGTGGGTGGAGAAATTATGTAATCAGGCCTGTTCGTATGGTGTCTTCTACTGGAATTAAAATGGCAAATTAACAAATTCACATTGGTATTTATTTACCAGTCTCTACACTTGGTTAATATGCATCAGTCCATGAGAGGAACCCACACTGGGAAACAAACTGTTTTCCATTCCCCAGCTGAATTCTGAGACTACCCTGGACTTAGTATAGTTCCTTGTATGAAGCATATGCTCAGTTAGTGTTCATTTGCATGTTGAATTGAACTGAGTTTGTTTTCTAATGCACAAGAAGGTAAAGAAAATGCACCGTCTAGTGAATGGGAGAAGGAAATATGCACGTTAAGGGTTATGGAAATCATCAGTGCCAGGCACTCTTCTAAGCCATGTGTGTACAGTGTCCTCTTTAACATGGTTGGGATGCATGCTATTAGACAAGAGGTCTCTGTGGGCTTTCAACCCACATTTAGAAGACAAGCCCATTTTAAGAACCTATAACATTAGACTGTGGGCCATGGTGAATCTACCTTGGTGATGCCAACCTTGGAGTCTGTACAGCCTGCCAGCCTGCCTGTCATCGAAGAGACACAAACAGGGTGCTGGCCCTAAAGGAAGTAGAAGGAAAGCTTGTAACAGAGGTTGGGAGATACACAAAGAGCACCCACCCTGTGAGATTGTCTGTGGAGAAAGAGTCAAATAATTCACTTTAGAAAACTAAATGAATGTTTAAATCCTTCCAAAAGCATTATTCAGATAAAATTCAAATGTTTCCCAAGCTTATCAATGGAACAATTTTTTTCCACATGATTTTCATTAATATATACTAGAATAGCAATTCCTCTGACTTACTTTATTTCAACATGCAAATAAACATTAATTATGTATTTCATAAAAGGGATGATAATAGGTTCTAGGAAAGTCTTATAATTAATCTGAAAGATGTAATTTATATTTGGGATGCTCAAGGTTTGTAAGATACTTTAATCTTGACCAAAAAATCCCTGAAGGAGATCTTATTACCCTCATCTCACAGTAAGGAAACCGAGATTCAAAAAGGTCAAGTCTTTTGCTTAATGTCACCCATATTTGAAGCCTGTGTTTGAAGCCATGTTTGAATTAACTATAGATTGAATTTATAGTTCTTTAAGATGGACTTTTTCTTAAGTAACTTGCAATCTTGAGTGGAATACAAGACAGGTATATGGCTGTGTAACACATGCTGGAAAACCTAGAGAGGGACATAGTGTGTTGCAGAGCATGCAGAGAAAGTTAACATTACTTTCATCTGGGAGGATTCAAGAAATATTTTATTTGTGATGTGGCATTTGAGTGGAGCCTCAAGGGGAAATAAAAATTGTCCCATGTAGTAGAATTATGGAAATAAATTTAGAACATCTTAACCTGTATACAGAGAGAACCACCAAAAACCGAATAAGTGATACAATTGTTGTGTACCTAACAGTACAAAACATGAAGGTACAGAGGTGGACAGGACGTCCCTGAACTCAAGATGGTTCACAACACAGTACAACGACCTTCCCTGAATACTTCCACTGGAAACACAGAGGAGCTCCAGCTTGGCTTCTAGTGGAGCAAATGATGAAGCTGACTGGAGATGGATTTGCACCCAAGAGACTAGAGAAGGTAAGTCCAAGCAACAACAAATGCACTGAGTGACAGAGTCACAGAAATAGGTAACAATGAAACATTGAGACTAGCCAGAACAATCCGGAACTGGAAATACGTGCCTGTGCGGCCAAAGCACAAAGACGACAAGGCATTTGAGTTCTGCATGCTCTTAACCACTCTTACCGGGACCAATTCTGCATTGATCTGGTATATTTTGAAGTTCCGTATAATGCTTTGTTTCTATTAAAAAGGACTGTTAGGGTTAAGAAACAGCTCGAAGCTGGAGCTTGGTCTTGGGGTTGACTGTAATGGTAGAAAAGTACAGAGGAAGAGCGTGACTTGCTGGGGAATTACAGAAACTATCTCAGCTTGGGTGAACTATTAGGGTATGAGCTTCTCATTAACAGAAGTTTTGTTTAATGGCCTTAAATGTCATGCCATAAATTCTTGGTTGATTTCATAGGTAATGGGTAGCATTATCTTTTAAATAAGGATGTAAAACAGATATAAATTGCCAAAGCAAAAGCTGTAGGAAGAGAAAAAAGAATGTAAAATAGAGAAAAGTGCCTCACAGTGGTCATGTTCAGTACTTTCTTGCTGGAGAATATTCTATGATCTGGAGCTATGGAATCGCTCTCCCTTATGATTTGCTGCTTGTTACAGCCGTAATCTCTGTGTGCAGCAGAACAAAGTGCGGACAGGCCGGAGTGTTCCTGGATGTCCTCCTTTATCAGACAACCGTTACTTTTCAGCCATTTTTACTCCAGCAAGAAATAAGAGACCAATGTTATAAAACAGGACTGTCCACCCGAACTAGTGAGCATCCCAGGAATATACTAGGACATAAAATATACCCTCTTTAGTGTTCCTCCTCTGTATTTAATTCCTTAGATTCAAATGGAGAAGAGGCATCTTTAAAAAGAAAAGAAACTCTCCAACCTAAGTTTAAATTTTTCTCTATGAGAAAAGTGCTTGCTAGGGAATAGAAACTATCTCAGCTTGGGTGAAATATTAGGGTATGAGCTTTCCATTAACAGGAATTTTATCTTATCTATTCTGGGATCCTGAGAACCTAATTCAATGGTGTTCTATACATTATCATAATTAAAAGGGTCTCAGTAATGGAAAAATTCAGTGCCATTTGGCTCTAGACACACTTTAAGAATTACCACCAAATAACTGAGATATTGCAAGTAGGAATATAAATAGCTGTTTCAGTTTCAAACACGGAACCTCTGGAGCATGAGAAATGTCCTAACAAGTAGCAGCAGAACATTCCAGCAGGGTTCTAAAATGCTGAGATTTCAACCCATGCACACCAATGCCAATATTAACAGTCACCAATATGGAACAAATTATTCCCTTTTGAAAAATTGTATTCAAAGATGAATAAAAAGCCAGAATCAGAGGACAAATAAGCCAATTTTCAACCCTAAGAAACATGAATTTTTAAGTGAATTGCATAGATTAGCTCATTAGTACAGCTTTGTCATAAAATGTATGTATTCTGCAGAGAAACAGCCTGGCCATAGCACTTTCCAGCTGTACAGGAGTCACTGGCAAGAGATAAGATGACTGGAAAAAAGACAGGATGGCATTTGCTGGAGATTGCTAACGTGGTTTCATCTGGGTCCTTTCAGAATCGGGGAGCCTGAGCCAGTTCCAGCAACCACCACCACCAAAATCCAATTGAGCAATAGACAGTCAAAGAAATAGACAAAAATGGAACACTGAGCCTAGCCAGAACAGTGTGGAACTGACTTCTCCGGTGTCCTCCTTCTCCTCCTCTGACCCTCCAGCCCTTCAATTTCTTTGTCACCAGCTTCCTGACTCTTGCTGCAGCCAGTGGCTATCTAACCTCTCTGAGTTGCAGTTTCCTCAGTTCTGAAACTGGGCTAATTAATACATGGGGTAACAGGGTGTAAAATTAAGACTTTAAAAAATCCTCTGCACTAGAAATGTAGTAATCCTCTGTGTAATTCAAATTTTAGAAAACAATAGGCAGGCCATGGGGCTCATGCCTGTAATCCCAGCAATTTGGGAGTCCGAGGTGGGTGGATCACAATGTCAGGAGATCGAGACCATCCTGATGAAGACAGTGACCCATCTCTACAAAAAATACAAAAACTTAGCTGGGTGTGGTGGGACGTGCCTGTAGTCCCAGCTACTTGGGAGGCTGAGGCAGGAGAATTGCTTGAACCCAAGAGGCGGAGGTTGCAGTGAGCTGAGACTGGGACACTGCACTCCAGCCTGTGGGTGACAGAGCAACACTTCATCTCAAAATGATAGTAAATATAAAAATTCCATAAAATTCTGATTTTCAACATGAAAATTTTGAAATATTTTTTAAATATCAAAACTATATACATACAGATGCCCTTATTTTGCTGTTACCCTAATTACATGCTTTGTCTACCTGCTGTGTACCGACCACTTACAGCATCGCCCTTACCAGGTCACTTGGAGGAGTGGTAATAAAGTACGCAAAGCTCCTAGGACAGTGCCTGTCCTGTTAACAGATACCTGGCAGCAATTATTATTTTTTTGTAGATAATTATAACAGCGAACCATGTTTTCTCTGATACTTTCACTTTCTAATATCACTGTTGTTATGACCTCTCAGATTCTACCATCATTATCCCTCTTCACGGCTGAGCTTGATAATCTTGGGAAGCCTCAAGTAGTTACACAGATAATAATAGCAGAAATCTCACTGATTCATGAAAATGTGTTACAAGCCGTCAACAGGAAACACTCTTTCTAAAATATACAGAGCCTACTGAATCTTAAGGGGAAACTGACATTTATTATTGCCCATTATGTGTCAGACAGTTTGCTAGGTACCTTCATCTGGATAATCTCATTTAGTCTTGTTAAACTAACTACTTAGAAGAATATTTGCTTTATTAATTGAATGAACATAAAGACCATAGGCACTGTCTATTTTAATTGATAAGCGAGTATTATATTAGGGAGAGACTCACTCATGTAGCAAAAATGTATTGACTGCTTACTGAGTGCCAGAAACTGCGAGGAACCAAGGACAGAGATGAAAAGAAAAAGCCATAACAGAACTGACTCACCCCAACCCCAGCTGCTTGAGTATTGGGTACCAAAGGCTCACAGGTGGCTTCAGCCAGGGGAAGCAGCCTCATCCAGAAAAGCCTGTGAGGTCATGCCTTCCTGCATGAGCAGTCCAGGCCAATGAATGATACATGGGACAAGAAGCCCAGGCCCGTGGCTCCAGGTGCGGCAAGTCTATAGTGATGTTTACATTTCAGAGCACACTGAGGAATCAGTGAAGTTAGACTCCAGTGCAGCCACAACACCTGTGCTTAGCTCCTTCCTCTAGCCTGTCCTGCTTTCCTCTTTTCCTTCCAGGTTCTCCCTGAGAGCACTCCCTCAATGACTCATTCAATAAGAATCCCATTCCATGCTCTGCTTCTAGGGAGCCTAGCCTCATCTGCCTTCAAGGAGCCTTTTGCCTAGTAGAAAACCCACCTGTAAACATACAAACACGATATAAATCATAACGTGAAGTCATGAATGTGAACGCACAGAACACTGAGTGCACAGAAGCAGCAGCATGACAGAATCGCACTCAATTCCATGCCCATGGGACATGGGAAAAAGGAAGACGAAATACCCACCCAAACTTCAAGTACAGTAAGGCATTGGTTCTAGAGCAGAGATTAGCACATTTTTTCTTAATAAATATACAGTGAGCATTCTAGGACTTTCAGGGGCATAGGAGAAATTATGTATATTGTGTAGGTACTTCTACAACCATTTCAAATGTGCTGACAGGCAGCTGACCCGACTATGCTTTGGGTGTATCTAGAACACTGTTTTACAAACAATATGCATAGCAGCCACTACATGATGTTGTGAAAATAGATCCTGGTTTAGTAGGTCAGGGGTGGGGCCTGAGAATCTGTATTTCTAATACGCACCTAGGTGATGTTGACACTGCTGGTCCTTAGTCCTCACATCAAGAAATAAGCCTCTAGAGAGAGAAGTATGGTAAAAGGAAGAATCCTAAAAGAAAAACAGTTGAGTAAAGCTGCAGGAGTTTTAGGAGCAGAGGAAGCAATAGCGAGGGCTCTAGGCTGAGGTTAGAGGGAGTGCTAAGTAATTTAATTAATGGACATTTATTAACCATCAACTCACTGCAAATCATTGCTCTGAGGGAGCCAATTGTCCAGCAGAAACCTGCTGTATCAAGGGCTCAGATACACACGGATAGAGGAACTCAACAAATAGATGCTTTGTATGCCCAGCAACCACTAGTCCAACTTCAGATTGCCATAACCCTGGCTATTTATCTCTGTAGACAAGATTATTTCTTTTAAAACAACTATGTCATCTTTATCATTGTTTTTTGTTTTAAATACCTAGGTCGTCCTGTAATCCCAGCACTTTTGGAGGCCAAGGCAGGAGGATCACACGGTCAGGAGTTCAAGACCAGCATGGCCAGCATAGTGAAACCCCATCCCTACTGAAAAAAACAAAAAAATTAGCTGGGCATGTGGGTGTCTGTAATCCTAGCTACTCAGGATGCTGAGGCAAGAGAATTGCTTCAACCTGAAAGGTGGAGGTTGCAGTGAGCCAAGGTTGCAGCACTGCACACCAGCCTGGGCAACAGTGCAAGACTCCATCTAGAAAAAGAAAAAAAAAAAGCCTGTGTTTTCTTTTACCTTCCCAAATACACACATAGTTTACTGTGGCATCTGTATTCCCATTGCTATGCTCTGTTCCCAAACTTCATTTTTTTAAATTATACTTTAGGTTCTGCAGTACATGTGCAGACCATGCAGGACTGTTGCATAGGTACACACATGCAACACACTTTGCTGAAGTTGCTTATCTTTAGGAGACTTTGGGCTGATAGGATGGAATCTTCTAGACATGCAATCATGTCATCTGCAAATAGAGACAATTTGACTTTGTCTTTTTTAAATTGATGATGATGATGATGATTTTTTTGCCCTGATTTCTCTGGCTAAAGCTTCCAATACTGTGGTGAATAGGAGTGGCAAGAGCATTTCCTTTGAAAACTGGCAACCTTTTCAACCATTCAGGACATACGCATAGGCAAGGACTTCATGACTAAAACACTAAAAGCATTGGCGCCAAAATGGACAAATGGGATCTAATTAAACTCCAGAGCTTCTGCACAGCAAAAGAAACAATCATTAGAGTGAACCAGAAACCAACAGAATGGGAAAAGCTTTTGTCATCTCCGCATCTGACCAAGGGCTGATATCCAGGATCTACACAGAACTAAAATCACCTCGAAAATCAACCACATGTTCTCAGTCACAGACCATTGTTGAACAATGAGAACGTATGGACAGAAGGAGGGGAACATCACACACTAAAGTCGGTCGGTGGGGGACATTGGG